GAAGCCCTGGTCAACTTTATTGACAACTCTCTACAGCAGACACATATGAGTACATTAATATTAAGACAAAAAACCATACAGATTGTTTTTTATTTGCTTTTTTTTGTTGTTTTTTGTTTTTTTGTTTTTTGTTTTTGGTTTTACGAGACAGGGTTTCTCTGTATTGTTTTGGAGGCTGTCGATCCAGCCTGGCCCCGAACTCACAGAGATCCGCCTGCCTCTGCCTCCCGAGTGCTGGGATTAAAGGCGTGCGCCACCACCGCCCGGCTCAGATTGTTTTTTTAAGACCAAGTGTAAGACCAAGTGACTCTACATCTGCTCACACCCTGGCCGTGGACACTTAACACTCGGCACTGCTTACTGTGTATACATAGCCAACAAGACAAACACAATGAATGCAAACTATTTAGATGTATGTGGTCCACCAACTTGAGCCACTAACCAACAACCAATGCCAAACTTTTCAAATCTAACATTTGTGTCATTTTAGAAATAAGTGGTTGTTGCTGCAGTCTATACTGTTATGACACAACAGCTCAATGCTTGCCTCTTAACACACAAAAACAGCCTTAAAGTCTTCATCTCCGACCCCAAAAAGTCCTTCTTAGAAGGCGGAAAAAAAAACAAAAACCCTGCACACACAAACTCCAAAGAGTGTAAAAGCTATGTGACAGAGTGGAAGGTAGGAAACTGGCCTTGAGAGTTTAACATGTTTGTCTGTCACTATTTGGATGCAAAAGCCATCAACATAACCAACAAGAGACTGTGACCCATAGGCAAGGCCGGAACGTAAATAACACTGTATGTGTGTAAGTGATAAGCTCTCGGTAATGAGCTTATTAACATCTGTGTCTCTGAAGGGGTGTGGCTACTTAGATACAGGATTCTGGAGGAGCCAGATATAAACTACCTCTGCCTGCCGCCTACTGCTGTGTAATAAACAAACATAGAAACAAGCAAGGGATGGCGGAGTGGTGTCCTGATATCACACTCCTCTATAAGGAACCTACTTGAAACTCACTCAGTAGGCAGCCTGGATTTGCTGGGCTCTTGGCACTCTCTCTGTAGAAGACATTTTTTACGTCTCCCCAGGAATCTACATTTACACAGCAGAAACCTAGCCAGCATGACACATATGACGATCATTTAGTCCAGTTAAGATGACGTAATATGTGTACTACTGTAGCATCACTTTGCTTATATTTGGAATGGCGGAGTCTACCGTTTTCACAATGTGTGCCCATCAGCTGCTACTTTATTTGAAGAACATAAAGCAGCATTTTCTTGAATGAATTCATGGTTCAGACATCTAGTTCAGACTACCCTTCCTATAAATTAGTGTCAATTGATAAGCTTTCTCTTAGTATACTTTCTCCAGTTATGAGAGGACCCTTCTTCCTAATTGAAGAGAGACACCGGGCTCACAGGCATGGTGGAATGCAGTTCAAGTCAATGAAGACTCCTGATTGAGGCACAGGTGCAACCTGTCAGTGTGCAGGGACAGGGCTTTCCACAGTTTATACTTGGTTTTAAGGAATTCAATAAGTTGAAAACTTTGGTAAGTCCAATTTTATAGGAAAAAAATTAAGAAAATGGAAGTTTATTAATATGCTACTACATATTAAATGCACATATTCAACATATACATTTTGATGAGTTTGAGTGTAAGCTATGGATCTGTGATGCCACACCAGTCAGGAGAGTAGAGAAGGCTTGGAATACAGCTTTGTGGTAGAGCAGCTGCTTGGCATGCAGAGGAGCCTGGCCGGGATCCCCAGGACCATGCATATGCAAGTTTTTAAAGGTAGTTAACACATCTACCACACCCACAGAGAGAATATTTTTAACTACTGTAGAGCAAAAACAAAGCAAAGAAAAATATTTACAACACGTTCAAGCAACAAAGTGTGCATAGCTTTAATGTGAAAGGAAGTTTTATTTAATTATTACTATTATTTTCCTATGTGCCTGTGTGTGCTCATACACCTGAAAGAGTGGGAACATACCACTTCCTGAGTTAGGAAGTCAAAGACATCCTTGAGTATTTATCCGTCATTTCCTTCCACCTTGTTTGAGACAGCATCTCTCTTGTTCACTGCTTCGTAGCTGGCTCAAAAGCTCTGGAAGTTCTTTTGTCTCAGTTTACCATTTCCTAGAGGGAGGAGTACTACTGCATTTGCCTTTCATGTGAGTACCAGGAATGTAAACACCAGTCATCCAGCTTGTATCACAAATGCTTACCCACTGAGCTCCTGCAAGGAACTTTTAAATAGTTCATTAAAAGTACAGGGAAACTAGATAAAAGCCTAGATAAAAATTTTGAAGAAGGAATGTACACGTCAAATAAATTACTAATAATTACAGTCAAACTTCCGATGACCAGAAAAGGAGTTAAAGTAAGGAAAAGCAAAAGTCTGTGATGTTTAGCTGTAAGGTCAGTATGAATTCACAAATTTAATATCTTTGCAGATGAACAGATACAGAAATAGAAATAGGGTGTGTGTGTGTGTGTGTGTGTACCTGCACAAGAGTGTCCATACATATATTTCTTAGCCTTATGTGCTGAAAGAGCACAGAAACAACAATTTACTGGATATTCTGGCACAGAGATCTGGCTTCAGCACTTCTTTTTCAAATGAAAGAGAGGAGCCAGCCTTCCTTAGACAAATGGATGCTTGAAGAATTATCTGGAGGAGGGATGCTGTAGATAAATTTGGACTACCTTGTAGTACTGGAAAGAAAAATATTACCAGATAGATATATTTGTTGTAATTTATGAAAAGCAGCTCAAGCGAAAGACACCATGTAACAGGGTTCAAACAGGGTTTTTTTTTTTTAAATTAGGGAAAGGGATCATAAAAAGGGCAGCGGGAGACAGCTTCTAGGAACAGGGGCAGCAGGAGAGAGGAAAGAGGGCCAGAGAGAGAAGGGGGAGGGAGAGAGAGGGAGGGAGATAGAGAGGGAGGAAGAGGAAAAGAGAGAGGGGGAGGAGGAGGGAAAGGAGGGTAGTAGGTGGGCAGAGCCCTTTTAAAAGGGAACATAGTGAATGCACACGGGTGACATTCTTAGTGGCTGCAGCTTAGGGCATATTCTGTCAGAACCCCAAGGACAGGCCAGTACAGGTACCTGAATACTAACAATGTGTATATCATATAAAAAGAAAGTCAGTTTAAATATTGGTGGGGGGCTGGAAAGATTGTTCAGTCATTAAGAGCCAACTCTGCTCTAGCAGGGAACCCAGTTTCAGTTCCCAGCACCCACATCACAACAAATACCACCACTTGCACTCCAGCCTTGGAGGGGAAATGACATCTCTGGCAATTGTATTCATGTGCACTTCCCCTACTCCCAACACAAAAAAACCTAACAAGTGAACATAACTTAAAAACAATGAACACTTTAAAACTTGATAAAATCTGGGACAATTGGAAAAGCAAAAGAAATGGGAGTAATTATTACTCATGCGGTAAAGCAAGCATGTACAAGTCCACAGTGATATAAATCATTGAACAGGTAAACAAATGGAAGAAAATAGGAGCTCTTCTTACTGTAGAAATCCAGGCAATCTATGTAAAAAATGATTGAAACAGACAACTGGCATTTGGCAAACACAGTAATAATCATTAGCGTTGAGAACTGTCAACAGATGCAGAGCCCAGGAGGTCAAACAGTAATGAGAACCAGAATAATCGCACATATTAAATCATTGGTCTGACACATATTAATCACTAAGATAAATATAGTAAACGTGAAGTAAAGAAACTTGTCAGGTCCTGCTTTAGCCAAGCGACTGAAGCTGGAAGTCAACATTAGCTGGCCTAATCAACACCTCACACTGCGTGTGCTGCAGTGAGTTCACCATGTTGCTTTTCTTCTGTCCTTTAAAACATGACGAAAGCTGCATTTAATTAAAGGAAACATCCGTGGCACTTTCGTTGGGAGATTCTTCCAAAGTCTGAAATACATATAAGACAGCAAACACAAAACAAGGCAAAACCAAAAAATAAAATGAGCAAACTGTGCCAGATTAAAAGGGACTAAAGGAATATGATGGTTTTGTACAAAGTGAGTTAAGGGTTTAATATATGCTAAAAGTCATAGAGACAAGCCCTGTGTAAACATCTTAGTGATGTTTTACATGCTATCATATTTTAAAAAATAAAAGAAGGCTAGGAAGATGGCTTTGGTGGGTAAGATGCTTGTTGTGAAAGCAAGAGGGACTGAGTTCAAATCCCTGGCACCCACATAAAGGCTGAGCATGGCCATAAGTGCCTGTAACACCAACATTGTGTATATGGGAAGGGGTGCTGTAGAGAAAGGTGGATCCTAGGAGCTCATCTGCCATCCAGCCTACCTGGAACACAGAGCACCAGGTTCAGTGAGAGACCCTGTCTCAAAAAAAAAATAGTTAGGATAGAATAAATAAGATTGAATAAGAGGACCATATCTGACATCTTCCTCTGGCTTCTGCATGGCCAAGGATGTGCCCTCGCCACTCAACCCCACATACCTGCGCATCCATCTCTCTCTCTCTCTCTCTCTCTCTCTCTCTCTCTCTCTCTCTCTCTCTCTCTCTCTCTCTCTCTCTCTCTCTCTCTCTTCACACACACACACACACAGGGGAAAGAAAGACAAATATAACAACTACTGGGAGAAGGAACTATACAAAGGTATAAACAATAATCGAAATAAAGAATTCATCAAATAGGCTTAACCAAAGAAAAATTAGTGAACTGGGAAACAAGTTATGAGGTGTTGTTCAGGATATGACATCAAATGACAAAGGTATTAAAAAAAAAAGTAAATGAGATTCATGTATAAATATAGAGGCTCTAACTAAATCTAAATACATATTTATGTATTTATTAATATTTATTTTAAGCATATATTTTATTTATATTATTTTAAACATATTTTATTTAAATAATTTAAATAACTTATTTAAAATACATATTTATATGTACATATGGAGAACAGAAGAAATAGAATATACTTTTGGCTTCCTTTAACAATTATAAATTTATGATAAGCACCAATCAATACATAGATACACTGAAAACCTCTTCAAAAAGAAAAGCTTGTATTAGCTTGTCAAATTTCCCCCAAAAGTAGAGTCTAGTGTATTTATCACTTAATTGACCAAACACACACACACACGGTTTTTCTCTCTTGGTTTGGGTAGAAAAATGATTACTTTTTCTGCAGAACATATAACCCACTATTCATTAGTTTTTATTTCTGAGTCTTCAAATCCCTTGAATCTCTTAAAAGCTGCAGAACTAACGTATAAGAGTCTTTCAAGTCTTGTGAGTATGGAGAGAGTAGACAAGAGAAAATAAACACTACACAGAAGAAGCCCAAACTGTGTTTCCCATTGTCAGTTCTAGGCTCAATTGGCTTGTGTGATTTGGTCAAGCCATTCCTCCTTAGTAGCCACAGCTATTTCCTGTCTGTGATTCTATGTCCCAGGCTGCATTTAATGATAGAGTAAATCTGACCGCCAGCAAAGGTCACTTGAGGTAGTCCTACAGCTCCAGTCCCTGCTCAAACGTGCAAGGGAATGAGTTTTTCTGTCATTTCCTGGAACACATCAAGGCGACTCTTTATCTGCTCATGAGTCTAGTGCTTTTAGTTGCCTTTCTCCATCTTGCTATTGCCAATCCCTCCTGAGGATCTGCAGTTGAAACCTCCAAAATGAGGAACTATCGTATGCAGACACCAAGGCCGTGTTTCAGGGTCTTCCTGGGCTATGAGCGGTCGTGTTTGCAGACCTCTGTCACCTGGTCAGGTCATATATGGCTGTCCCGGGAAAGCTTGGCTCCCAGAGATACAGGGGTGTTGACCTTCCATGTCCTTCACTCCTCGTGTGGGTGAGTCTGGAAAAGAGAGAAGAGGAGTCTGCAGTCATGTGGTTATGAAACCACCATGAGTCAGACGTCCAGAGCGAGCCTTCTGGTAGCCACTCATTCTGCTCTGGCTGCTACTGTGCCTCATGATTGGGAGAGTCCCTACCAGACACTCGACGAGATCCGAAACATTTCCACAGACCCATTGTTTCAGGGACTGCCTGTCCTTGCTGCATTGTGTTTCAGGAGTCCACACACCAAGTAGAACATGTCCCTTGAAATCACCCCGCTTTGCTGTATCTTCCAGCTCTCGGGGTTTCATCTTTGAAAGGTCTCATTTGCCAGCTGGCTGATAAAAATACAATGCTGGTATGGGCCACAGTTTGGAGCATCGGAGGGAAGCATGCAGGCTGCAAGAATGTTTCTCTTTTAGTCACTCAAATCATGAAAGTTTAAAATCCATGTATTGCGACTGATGTCCTTATGAGATAAGGTGAAGAAACAGAAATAGATGCAGGGAGAATGCCAGGGAAGGTAGAGGGTTAGAATGGTATACTTGTAAGCCAAACAGCACAGAAGATGGCCAGAAAAACACCAAAAGCTGAGGATAGGCAAGAGACTCCTCTAGAAACATGCCGGAGGCTTCAAATGTCAACAATTTTTAAACTCTGGTTTGTGGTACAGAGCAGGTGAGGAGATGCGAGGTCTGTGCCCTTAGGAAATGAGCTTTTAAAGCCCAGTGTGCATTCTCTACACTAAGGAAAGACTTGAGCTTGGGAACATAGGCTCTGATAGGAGGACCTTGCCTTCTTCCTTGCAGTGGTTCTTAAAGCCTTCTTAAAGCTGCCACCCTTTAATTCAGTTCCTCATGTTGTGTGACTCCCCCCCAAAAAACCAAATTATTTTTGTTGCTACTTCACAACTGTGGTTTTATTACCGCTATGAATCGTAATGTAAATATCTGTGTTTTCCGATGGTCTTAGGTGACCCCTGTGAAAGGGTCATTTGACTCCAAAGGGGTTGTGACCCACAGGTTGAGAACCACTGCTGTAGATGTTCTGGGAACACAGCTTTTGAGAATGCAAAGATAGTCCTTAGTGGAGGGTGGAGGATCTTAGGTAAAGGTACTCGTTGCCAAGACAACCTGAGTCTGATTCCCTGAACCTTTATGGTGGGACAGAATCTCTACAGGGGCACCATGGCATGTATTTATCAACACACACACACACACACACACACACACACACAATTACACACACATACACATATACACACATCACACACACACATACGCACATCATACACACCACATACACAATCACACACACCACACACATACAAATACACACACCCATAGACACATACCACACACACATACACACATCACACACACGACACACAATCACACACACACACAATTACACACATACACCACACACACATCACACATACACCACACACACAATCACACACACCACAAACACAATCACACACACCACAAACACAATCACACACACCACACACATACACATACACCACATACACACATCACACACACAATCACACACACCACACATACACACCTCCTACATATTACACACACACCACACACACACATGCACATACACACAATTACACACACCATACATACACACCACACATATACACACACCACATACACACACAATCACACACCACACCACACACACACATACACATACCCCCACATACCACACATACACCATACACACTACAGATACCACGCACACCACACCACACACAGCACACCCACACATACCACACATATACCATGCACACACCATACACACTACACATACCACACATATACCATGCACACACCATACACACTACACATACCACACATATACCATGCACACACCATACACACTACACACACCACACACACCACACACACACAATCACACACACCACACACACCACACACACACTCACCACACACGCACACAACACAATATACCCCCCACATAGCACACATACACCATACACACACCACACACACAACACAATACACCCCCACACACCACACATGCACCATACACACTACACACAACATACAACACACACACATACCACATACACACACACACCACACTATATACACTCACTCAGAGTAAATGAATATAAAAAGTTTTAAACTAAACAAAAAAGTACAGTTTGTGTTTATGACAGGAAGGAAGTGGTAATCATTGCGTGTCTGCATGAGGTCACCCAGGGTAGGACATGTCAGGGTCAGCTCATCTTGGGGAAGTCAGAGGACAAAACATAACTGACTAAGCCCAGCAAGACTGTATTGTTAGGAAATCAGACATTTCCAGACTTCCTTCTGTTGCTGGATGAACACGTTGTATTAGTCAACAAGCCTGAGATGGGTGACTGATTCGGGAGTTGGGCCACTTCAGGCTGAGGGTATCTGTGGAGTGACATGGCTCTTATTTAAGTACTTCCCTGCCCTTGGATTCCTCCAGGATCTAGAAAAGACAAGCAACACCAAATCTCTGTTTGATGGACTCGATGACTCCATCTACAACTGGACCTATGTGCTGAGTTCTGGATGGTCTACTTGAGGAGAACACAGGGAGGCCAGGGGATGTTTGAAAGGCAGTGATTGTGATGGCAAATTGTGCACTATGAGAAGCTGGTGATGTTTAGAAAGATACAATAAAGACCCAAGAAAAACAGGATAGAAAAGAAATCACGAGTTTTTCTTTATCAGAGAGTTAGTGTTGATCAATCAATCAGGAGATAAAAGGTTCTCTCAATCTGCCTAAGGAAAGACTTCCAAGAAAAGCCCTGCTGATGAGGCTTGACAGCTAAGCTCTATGAATTAATGTATGAAGTTAGCAAAAGCATACTCACCAACTCCTTGTACAAAAACCAGATATAAACATACGATCAACCAATTTTGAAAGGGAAGAGCACATGTTCCTTTTGTCCAACTATAATATCCACCATGAAGCCATACTGACAAGGCGTTATGGATTGGGGTAGCCACGGATGAGCAACCCAGAGAAAACTGGATAGAACAATGCTGACTTTTCAACTGATCTGTCCAGATCTTGTCTGCTGGACATGGGATTTGAGGACCTAAACATATGTGATGCCATAGACAATGTTACTTCAGTTCCAATGTACTTCTGCACTCAAATGGAAGAAAGCCAACAATGATACAAGGATGGTTGTTGGAGTTCAGAAAAACACATACTAAACATTATCAAGCACACACTAAACATTAACAGAACAGTCCTTTCGCAGAACATTCTCAAGACAGAGCAATTGAAACACAGTTGCCTGGCAAGTACTGTAGATTATATCTGAGAAAGCGTGAAAGAAAGGCAAAAGGCCATATCCAGATTCAGGGCACACTGGCCACCCTGGGTTCTACAGCTATATTCTGAAACCCAGCAAGAACAAACATGTCTTATAAATTGACAGTAAATGTTTAACACAGGAGGCACCAAGGCATGTCCAAGAACAATCCTGGGAACAAAATGCACCCGAGGTAAAAGGCCCTCGCCTTTCTGTCTGGAGCCTCTCACAGCTCCCCCGGGCATTGCGCACCATGCATCAATTCTTTTCACCATGTTCTGACAGAGAAGCACATCATTTATGACAGAGAACGTGGCATGTGATGGACAGTTCAGTGGTAACATGGGGAAGCTGTCTTGAGTTGAAGGGGAGATGTAGTTGGAAGATTTAAACGATACAAAAGAGTGGACAAAGACAACACTAAACTCTAAGTGTTTCTAAGGCTCAAACCTAGCATATCTCTGGTAGGCAAACAAATCCACACTGAACAGCTTTTTCCCCCTTTTCTTTTAACTTTGGAGAAAGGTTCTAAATTGGCCATGCTGGCTTCGAACTAGCTTTATGGCTCAGGCAGGCTGTGAACCTGTGGTCCCCCTGCCTCATCCTCCCAAATAGCTGGGATTCCAGGCCAGCACCAAGAGGCTCAAAGAAAGATACAATTTAAATCAAACAGAAGAAAATGTATATCGTACTTGTGATCTGGGGAGCAGGTGCAACTTGAACCCCCAAAACTTATTAGGAAAATTACCCAGATGCCCATTTGTAAATTAAGGATTTTGAATGACAGCATGCACAAAGCTATCCAGTTCTTGACAGATTAAAAAAAGTGGCTGGACGGTGATGGCATATGCCTTTAATCCCGGGCAGATTCCTGTGAGTTCCAGGACAGCCAGAGCTACTGTTACACAGAGAAACCTTGTCTTGATAAACCAAAACAGAAGGAGGAGGAAGAGAAGGAGGACAAGGAGGAGGAGGAGAAAAGAAGGAAGAAAGAAGGAAGAAAGGAAGGAAGGAAGGAAGGAAGGAAGGAAGGAAGGAAGGAAGATCAACATCTTTAGAGGCTAATACTTAGGTCATATAAAGAATACCATATCCAGGTGCAGTGCTAACACCAGGATTCAAGAGCTTGAGGCACGAGAACCAAGAGTTCAAGGCCAGTTTAGAGTATATTCCGAGATTCTGCCTCAAATAAATAAATTTTAAAAACCCTGTAACTATATATTTAGATTATATCAGCAAAACATAGTAAATATTGAAAATATGCTTGGAAAGGAGGCATCAAAATGGTTCTGAGAGACTCTGGCTTTCAGTAAGTATAATATATTTATTCAATTAATAAAATCAGTGTTTATCTCATATTGGACTACTCTAAGTATTGAAGGTAGAGGGAGAAAGAGTCTCTGCCTTGAGACTTTTTGTCTTCAGAAGGACAAAAAAATTTACTTCTCGTACGCGGGTTTTCTTTTTAAAATTATAATCACGTAATTTTATAGCTGGGAGAATACTTGGTAGTATTTCTTCTGGATTCACACTTTTGAAAGTATTTATTTAGTGTTGGGGGTGGGTAACGCATGCACTAAATCACTCATGTGGAGGTCAGAGGTCAGTTTGCTGGAGTCGATTCTCTCCTTCTACCATATGGGTTCTGAGGGTCAAACCTGGGTCGCCAGGCTTGGTGTGGGTGTTTCTCCAGCTGGCTGTCTCATCTGGCATAGGTCCGTGCTTTTCCCAATTGACAAACAACATCTCAGGGGGACCCGCTGACGTTGCTGGGGCTTCCATCAGAAGCCGAGCACCTAGGTGTATCCAGAATGCCCAGGACTGGGCTTCTGTTCTCCTTCTGCAACCTGTGTATGACTGGCAACCTCCCATGCTGCAATTTCTTCACCAGTAAAGCCACAGGGAGAATGACGTTCAGCCTAAAGTTGGTTTAAAGATGAAATGAAGAAACATTATCTGGAACAGCAGCTTGGCACATGACGAAATTGCAAGCTAGCTGTTTTGCTTTCTCTACCTTGGTTCTAACACGATCGCAAAGATGAGACTTTCCTGTATTTCAAAACTGAAACTGTTTTGGGTTATCAGGGAAGTAACTGACGGCTTCCAGTAAATACTAACACTAATACTAGTACTAGTACTAGTGATAGTGATAGTGATAGTGATAAAGCCACATACTTTCCCAGACAATGTGACCTGGCACCCATGAAATATGTCTTCCACATTAACTGTTTCCCCCAGCACTTTTTGCCTTGACTCAGGATGCTCAGTGGAAGAGCAGTAAGAGACTCTTCTAACCTCACCTTGCGATTCCTTGGTGGACTTAAATCCTGGAAAGGGTGAGTACCCTGCCCTGAGGCTGTACAGGCTACAAACCTAGTACTTCACATGCAGTTTCGAAACCACACATAATTGTCAATTGTCTGAGGAATGATTAATGTCACCTGGCTGACTTTTTCAAAAGGGTGTGAACTGCATGGATGAATAATGCTCACTTAGCTAGGGACCTGAGAGGTTCAGAGGAAATGGGGCGATCCTACCGATGGGGAGGATGGGGAGTTTCTGTTGACTCTGTCATTCTTCCACTCAGGGGGCGGAGCCAGCTGCTGGATAAACAGATCCAACCCAGTTATAAGGGGGGGAGAAAAGATGTGCCCTCTATCTTTCAGGGTTTCAGCTGGTGGCAAGCAGCTGGACAGTACGGGTGCAGCAGAAGGAATCCAGAGAGAGGATGAGCTCCAAACCAAAGCCCATCGGGATTATCGGGGCGCCGTTCTCCAAAGGACAGGTGAGTGCCAGCCTGCCTTTGAATGACTGGGACTTATTGGCAAATGTTTCATTTTAGAACTTGCCTGGCGTTGCCATCTGGCTGGAAGTTTCCCAGCACCATGTGGACCCCAGGTGTGTGCACTCAAGTCTTCTAGCCACTGTGTGGCATGGCACACCTGAGGACTTGAACCCACTTCCTCTTTAGGCTCCTGACAGAGTCTGTTTCATTTAAGCCCAAGTCGTGACTATGTTGAGGCAAAGTCACGTGGGTGGAGATCGCCTGCACTGCAGCGCCTTTACTAGTTGCTGTGTTTCTCGGTGTCTCTAATGTTTTCTGAGTATAGAGTGAGAGACTGTGAGAACACACATTGGCCTGGTTTCATAACTAATGCCTAGAACACTGTAATGGGTTGGTGGCAACCTTCAGCCTTTTTCAAATTTGGATTAATGAAATAATAGAGCTTTTGCAAGTTTGTGAAGAATTCATGCTATCTGGAGCTTTAATGACCTTATGACTATTAGCTCATAAGTTAGGGGCCTTTACATGGTTCTTTAAGAAGAGAGAACAAGGACAAAATACTTGAGGGTGGCACTCCTGTCAGGACGACTGGATCTATTAACGTCCACTTGTTTAGACCACCTAAGTATGAATTACACGTGTAGCAGTGCCTAAATGGGCCATTGCTCCCCCTCCCTCCTCCCCAACTTGGATACACTCACTCTGCTCATTGTAACAACAGAATGCCTTAGACTCAATATGGTCTGGTTTAAAAAGTCCAAGTCAAACAAGAGAGTCAGTGGGTTGGAACTCCTACAGTCCTTCTGTGTTTAAATGGGGTCTTCCTCCTGGCTTTTAGAATCTAGACAGCCTTTTTAATTGTGAAGCCTCAAGGTGCACACTGGCTTTTTGTCAGACCCTAATACAAATTGTGGGAGGTCAGAGGCCCAGATTGTATTTGGTGTCAGTAAACAGCTCTTCACCATCCCTGGAAACCCACCAAAGAACACCCCCAGAGCACCAGAACACGGGGTATTTCATTGGCACATATTCCCTTTAAAATGCACAATATGGGTCTGGGGAAATGGCTTAGTGGTTAAGTATCACTTGATACTCTTCAGGAAGACCAGGGTTCAGTTCCCAGCACCTACATCAGGTGCTCACAGTTGCCTATAACTCAAGCTCTGGGGTATCCAATACCCTCTTCTCGTCGTTGTGAGCACCACCCCTACCCCCACACAAATAATGAGGAAAATTATTTAAATAAATTAAATTATTTTAAAAATCCATTGTATGCTCATGTGGTCTTTAGGTTTAGAGGATTTTACTTTGCTTTTTAATTGTGTATATATTAGTTCATTTCTGCAAGAACAGTAAGCATTGTTAACCACCAAGCCATCTCTCCAGCCCTACATCTACTGCTGGGATGGTTTGTAAAACAGACTTGAAAATGACAAAGAAAAAAGAAGGCAAAGAAGGAGGCAAACAGAAGAGAAAGGAGGAAGGAAGGAAGGAAGGAAGGAAGGAAGGAAGGAAGGAAGGAAGGAAGGAAGGAAGGAAGGAACTGGGTATAGTAGAATATGCTCTAGGGAGGTAGTAAGTTCAAAGCCAATTGGAATTTCATGAAAACCCTTCTCAGGAAGGAAGGAAGCAAGGAAGGAAGGAAGGAAGGAAGGAAGGAAGGAAGGAAGGAAGGAAGGAAGGAAGGAAGGAAGGAAGGAAGGAAGGAAGGGAGGGAAGGAGGGAGGGAGGGAGGGAGGGAGGGAGGAAGGAAGGAAGGAAGGAAGGAACAAATGAACAAGGGAAGGGAAACATACCTTGGCCTCTGGGCTTAGGCAGAGAGCTGACCTCCAGGCCCTTCTAGGCGAGAATACGGTAAAACACCATCTGCTGCACTGTCTCATCCTTAGTAACGCTCCTCTGTCAGAGATTCTCCTTCAACATGGGCGTGAATCTGCAGCTCATTGTCTCAAGAGTAGAGACAGAGTCCCCTGTTGTAAGCCATGTATCAGAGGGTGACACTGCCAGCATATCCGTGCAGTTGGCCTTCCTAAGTGTGGCAGGAGTCTGACACGCTGGCAAAAAGGAGAAGGTTAGAGGGAAGTGGTTAGAAGTTTGAGAAACAGCCCCATTCTCTGCCTCACCTCATTCCAAGACAGTGAATAAAGATGAGGTTGCTAGGTATTGTTTTCATGGGATGACTGAGTTAATTACGGCTTGCAGTGACTCTCAACTTTCCTAATGCTGTGACCCTTTATTCCTCATGTTGTGGTGACGCCCAGCAACACAACACAATTATCTTATTGCTACTTCATAACTTTAATTTTGCTACTGTGTTATGAATTGTAATGTAAATATCTGATATGCGACCCCAAAGAGGTCCACAGGTAGACGGCTTAGAGTGATCTGTTAGTTTACTCATAGTCATGGAATCTTCACTGTGTGCTTCCAGACAGGATTGTTTGCTTCCAAAGCTTGTATCCCTGGTCTACACTGATGCTGATTTAGAAGGTTCAGCTCTATAGCAAATCTTTGCTTTGTGGCCAGTTAAGGGGCTGGACAGGACACTTTTAATGGCCAGGCTTGCTGTCAAAGCAGTTTCTAAAGTGGGCAAAGAAATGAAGCAATGAGCATACAGCAATCATGAGAAGTCATTTTAATCAAAGCAATAAAATGGAATGCTAGAAAATGCTATTGTGAGGGGCTAGGGATGTGGTTGGTAAAGGGTTGTGCAAGCTTGATGACACAAAACCCTAGGTTAGACCGCCCAACTACATAAACTGAGTATGGTGACAGACCCTTGTAGTTCCCAAACTGAAGAGGTAAGGAGACGAGGATCTGAAGTTCAAGGTTATCCTTAGCTATGCAGTGAGTTTGAGGCTAGCCTGGGCTATGTGAGAACATGTATTAACAAGACAAAACAAACCCAATCACTCCGTGGAGAAACCTACTGACTGTCAACTGAGAGGTCTATGCAGGGTTGTTATGATGCCTGGAGAGGAGAAGAGGAGAGACTGTGAGTCACATTAAGTTGTACTTCGGGTACCATCTATATGTCAGTCCTCTACTGCACCACACAGAGCCCTACTGGTAAAAACATTTCCGTTGAAATCTGCCGGTAAGACCAAAGGCTATGAAACTGTAAGCCAATAGAACCCATGGTGAGCACAGTTAGGAATAGTTCACCAGGGCTGGGAAGACAAATAAACTGGTAAAGAGCTTGCTACACAGGCATGAGGACTTGAGTTTGAGTCCCCAAATCAGTCTTAAAAATAAAACAAACAAACAAAAACCCAAAATACCTGGTGGTATATATATCTATAATTCCAGGGCTGGGAAGGTAGAGAGAGTTGAAACTCTGGTTAGTCAGGCCAGCCTATTTGTGTAATTTGTGTATTCCAGGCTAGTGAGAGACACACACCCCCAACACACACGCGCGCGCGTGCGCGCACACACACACACACACACACACACACACAGCATCATTTATTAAAGGGCTGGACAGAGTCTGTAAAATGGAAATTCTTTTTAAGATGGGGTTTCACTGGATAGCATGAAGCTGTTCTCTGTCTCTGTCCCTTTCTCCCTCCCTCCCTCTCTCTCTCCACATATATGTGGAGTTAAAATCAGGGTGGCCTAGATCACATTCGTCTCTCTCTCCCAAGTGGTGAAATTAAAAGGGTGCACCATTTCTCTGTGGAAGGGGAAAGCATAATTAAGTTAATGCACTTCTTTTCCTAGCTCCAAAGTCACTGTGATGTATATTTTTAATGGAATTTAGAAAACTTGTTTTCTCAATTGTAAATTAGTTTAAATGCTGCTTTTCTTATTAGTCTCGTAAATGTTGGACTGTTTTCTGTAAATGGCATTTTACAGAATCTAAACTTCAAAACTGTACTAACTTTTATAGTTAAACATTGTATTAAATAAAATATACTATAATAAACAAAAAAGTGTACACCATTATACCTGATGGAATGACATCTTGAGTTTGTCTTCTGGTCTGCACACACACAAACATGCATGGTGCACCTGCACACTCATATGTACATGTTCACAAAAACACACACACACACATACACACTCACCAAAACAGAAAAACATTTAATATTCTTATTACAAAGAAATAATAAGCATTTAAGGTGCTGAATATATTACCAGTGTCTACATGGATCCAGACATCACTCTAAACCTCATGAATATATATATATATGTATATACATATATATATATCAATTGAAAAAATGACATTTAAACAATTTAGGAGATGTAAAGGAACAGAACCTTGTTAGGTAAAGTATTCAAGGTTCTTGGTAGCCAGCAGTAGAAATTTGACACCAGGATTTGCCTAGCACCTGGGGAAGATCATCTGTCATTTGACCAGAGAGGAAGTATTTGCTTAGTTTAGGGTTACAGTCCCAATCCTTAGGATAAACACATGTGACTTTTGACACCAATCTGCTGGCCAAGATCACTTTCTGTGTGTCTTTAAATGGAAAAAAAAATGGGTGTGTCTTAAAGTGTTTGAAATGAAGATCAGAAAGACTTCTATCAACCACCAGGCTGCAGAAGAATTTTTTCAAAGAGAAAGATGGATGGCTAGCTCTCTGGATGTTATCTCAGCAAGGCAGGATTTCTCACATCAGGTTTAAACAGGTCAGAATTTGAAGTTACTATGCTGGTCTTTGTGGCTTCAGGTCTCGGTTGACAATTTTTGCCTGGTTTCTCCTCAGAGTCCTAAACTACTCTCCATTTACCAGTTAGGGTACTTCATTGTTTCATTTTTTATTATTATAAATACTGCTGTCACTCACTTAAGTACAGGTCTCGTAGGTTGACTTTGCATGGAGGTCTTTTCAGGCCATACTCTTAGCCTGCTGATGCTTTTGCCCTAGATTTTCCCAAGGTAGCAAAGTTTCTCCATCACCCCGTCACCTTTCCTGACCATCTACCGATGTTGCAAGACCCAGCCCAAAGATCACATGTTGTAGCCAGCATTTATGGCATGCCCTGTTCTAGACTCAATCAAAAGCATCCTGTTTTCGTATCAGTATTGGAACTGATACGAATTGTGTTCAAAAGTTGTGATTAAATGTCCAAACTTAGCCATTTTACACAGAATGTGTGGACAGTGTAGCATGCTGGGAAGAGGCAAGCATGGAATCCCTAGACCAACTTACAAACCTAGTTCCGCCTCTCGTCTGCTATTTGCCAGGATGAAAACGACTTTGTGGATCTAGTCCCTTCTGTTGGGATAGGTGCAATTCACTCCACAGTACTGTGAAGATTAGGTGAGAAACTATATGGTCCTGGATCATGGGAGCTGAAAAACTCGTGGTTAATGATTCAATCGATAAAATAAGGGGCAAGTTTCTCTTGTGGGCATTGGGTAGTCACAGTCACGACTGAAGTACTGTTCTTCTTGCATTGTTCAGCCTCGAGGAGGGGTAGAGAAAGGCCCTGCAGCACTGAGGAATGCTGGTCTGGTGGAGAAACTTAAAGAGACAGGTAATTTTAAAGTTGAAAGGCGGTCAGGTAATGTCCTCGTCACTCTGAAGAAAGGACAGGCTTCTAAGAAGGGAGGATGTATCTGCAGTGACACTGACAATACTGAATCAGGTATTAAATCATTAGAACCGTGTTCAGTGGAAGAAGAAGAGCCTGGGAAGGGTACCCCATAGACACTGCTGGTTTGCAATATTCCCATTTCTTTACTTGGTTTGATGTTTCTGGCCAAACTATTGTACAAAAGGTTGTACGATACAACAAAGAGGTTTGGGTGGATGATTGGGGAGCTGGGGGGGGGTTGAAAATGAGAAATAAAAGCTGCAAGAAGTACACCTTATTATTGCAAGAGGATTCCTACCTTGTTAAAGTAAAATGAAACAGTAATAACAGAAACCATAACTGCATCTAGTGCGCATGTATGTGGGCAGACATGTAGCATGTTGGGAGGTAGAGCATCTAGAACCTGTATGTATTTCAGGGGAAAAGTAAGACAACACTATCAATTTAGAAAGCATTTGTCAACACACAAGACCTGTACTTGAATGAGTAACAGTGGTATAATAACAAGCAAATGAAACAATAAAGTACCCCAACTGGTTAACGGATGAAATAAAGTGGTGCCTCCATGTAGAGACATGCAAAGATCAGACTGCAGCATAGACAAGGACATTCATGGGTCTCAGCAATAGCATGTTAAGTGAGAGAGGCTGACACAAGTGGCCACATGGCTCAGTCCGTGTAAGGTTCTCGGAAGACAGAAACATAGCTAAAGACAGCAATCAACACTCGTTGGGAGTTGGGGCAGGCACTGCCTATGGAGGAACGGAAGTGCTTACTTGATGGCGGTTGCAAGGTTGTAGCTATTTCCTGTACTTGCTGACCTGTACATTCAGAATTATGAGTTTTAATGGATAAGCGTCACTTCATCAAGCTGGAAAGGAGAGTGAGGACGTGCATGGAGCTAGGGCATGAAGGAGTAGGGAAGGGGGCAGGGAAGAAGAGGGAGGGAGAAGGGAGGGAGACAGGAACGGAGGGAAGAAAAGAGGGAGGTTACTCATTGGAGAACAGAAAGTCCAAGTATGTTGTCTCGTCCTTAGTTAACGAGAAGAAACTGATTACATATTATATCAGGTGAAATGTCTTGAGAGCGTTGCTAAATTTTAAGTACACAGAGATATAATGACTACTTCGGCAGTGGCTAGTTCAGAACACTGAGCAGATCCTGTATCACAGTGCTAAGGGATGCTCTCCAGTTTAGAAACTCATGTCAGGGCTTTTAACTGAAAGCACAGTCAGGTCCTTAGGAACATTGGATTCCCTGCAATTTTTTTTTTAATGTGAAAAGATATAACAAAAGATTGCATATCCTGGACTCTCTGACCTGGGAGGTTTGGTACTAACCACGCACAGCATTTACATTTTCAGCACACAGGCAGGTGAGATATGGGAAGATGATGGGGGTTTCAGTGGGTGACGGTATGGGTGGAAAACCGGGATTCTTGAAGTGGGGTCAGGAACTTAGAAAATGCTACTGTATTTCACTACTGCATGTTAACAAATTCTGATGTATCTTATTTGAGATATATAAAGTACGTATTTAAAAGCCAAACATGATCATCACAGAGAGATCAAAAGCGTTTAACACACATGTATACACACACACACATGGGATGGGGGTGGGATGGGGTGAAGGGCGGGGCACGGAACCAGATGCTGTTCCCTATTGGATCAAGACCACAAAGTTGTCACTGTCGCCTTTTCACCATCCAGTCTCCATAGACTGATTCAGGAAATAGGGAGGCCCTGGTATTTGGCAAGCTCCACAGCAAGAAGGTAGTTAGAGGGCTGATTTGCAATGTTTCTATTTAGTAACGTCAAACTTTTAATTGCAGTGTATGATGTGAAGGACTATGGGGACCTGGCCTTTGCTGATGTCCCTAATGACAGCCCCTTTCAAATTGTGAAGAACCCACGATCTGTGGGCAAAGCCAATGAGCAGCTGGCTGGTGTGGTGGCAGAGGCCCAGAAGAATGGAAGAGTCAGTGTGGTGCTGGGTGGAGACCACAGGTCTTGTGAACTGCTAATTCATGGGGGTTGGGCACGGATGGTATAAAGGGACCCAAGGACTACAGGATATTTTATATTTTTTGCCTTTAGAGACATTGTACATGTTAGTTTATTATGGAAACATAGACCAAGCTCTACTTGAAGTCTTAAAATATCTTTATCCATTACAACAGGAAATATGCCAACTGTGAATTTCAGCATAGCCTTAAATTTTATAGTGACAAGCCACTGGGGAAAGTCATACCTTATTAGACTTGAATCCTGACGATACACACAATTCATTTAGGTGAACAATTTAGAAATGTGTGCTTTCCATTATAAAAGTTCTGTAAAACTTCTGAAAGAACATGCACGAATACATGAGTTATTTTGTGTCATTTCTCATGTTATGTTCTAAACCAACAGTTTAGATTTCCTTATGTTCCTACTTGGTATGCACAAAAGTACTATTTTTGCCTCCTGAGTAATTTTTCATCATGGAATGACACCACCTTGTGTGTGTATCTATACCTGTACCTATATCTATGTATCTATATACATGTCCATATTGCCAGATGATTAGTTGGCTGTTTTCACTCAGGGATCATGTCCTGGCGATGAGTTGGAGTGAGAACACCCCTGCTGCTCTTGAAGCAAGAGCTGCTTTCTGTCCTGCATTCGTTTCCTCACTGGCCTGTGAACAGGGCTCCTATGGCAATGCTGCAGTTTAGACTGGGCTTGCTTCCCTTTCTTAGAAACCTAAGTGGAAACATTGGAAGTAGAAATGTTAGGAGTGAAGATGGCCCAAAGTGAGAGACCTAAAGTAAAGCAGACATCAAGCCAAATGAATAAGCAATACCTGGACATGAGGGCACGTTTTCTTCTACTTAGAGAATATGACTGCTCATGGCTTTGAGTGCTATTTATATATTTGCAAGTGTGATGACACAGGCATGCCATGTGACCTACTGTTAATACCTTCTGTTCCAGGTATCACTTAGCTCTCCCATTCTAGCCTAATGGAGGATTTGGGGATGGGCTTTTATGTATCTCAACGTGATGAGACTGGGTCCTTGCATGGAGAGAATAGGTGGCTAAAGTAGAGGCGTTGAGGACTGACGGGACAGACAGACCCTGGCTGTAAGCGATGAAGGAACTGTCTAGTGATTCTCTCTGATTATGAAAATGCTGACTTTTGAGAAAAAGATGAAAGACTGTGCTATAATTGAACACAGAGAATCAAGTACCTAACAAGAGAGAGTCCAGAAAAGGAGCCAGTCAATCCTAAGAACTAAAGAGAGTCCATATCTTTCTTAGTGTTGTTATCAAGGTAACTAACTGGTGACTGCTAGCCCTTCTCTATTGTTCAGTTAACCAGCACCCTTAGGGTCTCTGCAAAGGCTAAATGTACTTCAAGGATATTCAAATAGGCACAGTATATGAGCTAACAATATGATGCATGTGATGACATTGTAAGCCTGATGTTAACTTTGCTCCCTCCCCTGCAGTATGGCAGTTGGAAGCATCTCTGGCCATGCCAGGGTCCACCCTGACCTATGTGTCATTTGGGTGGATGCTCACACTGATATCAACACTCCGCTGACAACAGGCACTGGGAATTTGCATGGGCAACCTGTGTCCTTTCTCCTGAAGGAACTAAAAGGAACGGTAAGAGGCCCCTTAGCTGACATGAAAGAATTCTGTAGTAGTTCAGGAGGCGGAAGGCAAACAGGAGTGCCTTCCTGCCTTTCATTCTTGGTATAACCTCAGGCTATCTTCTGTGTAGTAAATAAGCAAAAGGTGAGTTGATAAAGAAGGATGGCTCTCACTGGACAGACTGCAAACTTATTATATCTGGAGTTGTCCCTCTGTATCCATGAGGGATTGACTGATGACCTCACAGATACCAAAACCACGGGTGCTCAAGTCTCTCAAACAATACGACACACGTTGCATATAACCTATGTGTGTCCTCGCACATACATCAGATCAGCTCTAGATTATTTATATTCCCAAATGAAATATAAATGCTATGAAAACAGCGTTCCAATGGTTCCAATAAAGGGGGAAAGCTTGTATATGTTCAGTGCAGACCAAACCAGTGCAAGCTTAAGTACATTCTCAGCCGTGGCTGGTGGAAACATAGATGCAAAGGGCTTATGGCTTTTTATTTGGAATTTCTTTGGGGGGGGGTATGTGTTCCAAGATAGGGTTTCTCTATGTAACCGTCCTGGAATGCCCCAGTGTTGGGATTAAAGGAGTGTACCACCACACCTGGTCTCTTTGGCTTCTTAAACTACCCTTCTGAGGAGATGGGCAGACTAACCCTTTCTAAACAGGCCTACAGAGATTCAGAGGATAAACAATTTGCCCAGAATCATGCCCAGTTATTGTGAGGCAAGGGCAACCAGGTCTCCTGACTTCTACCTCTATGTACATGTTAGGGTTTTCCTTTGTTACCACGTGACCCCTTCACATCAGAGTCTAGTCAGAAACTCAGCTTTGCCATGCAGATTACTTTTTTTTTCTTGCAATAGAGTCTTGCTAGGTAGTTGAGGCTGGCCTTGAACTTTCTGCCTGCCTTCTGAGTGCCAAGACAGGAGTGTGCCACCATGCCTGGTTTTCAGTGGCTTCAGATCTCCATTGTGAGAAGCACTCATCTGAGCCCCAAGAGGAAGAATCCCCCCTCCTCATTCCTGAGAAACCTGACTTAAGTCCTTTTGAGAAAGGAAAGGAACGATGGGAGCTATTGAAGTAACGGAAGCACATATTTCTTGGTGTTAGAGCCCTGGGAAAGAATCTGCGCACTGCAGAAATGGGGCACAGAGCATGACACTATTGATGGGAGCCCAGGGTATGGCTAGGCCACCGGGCAAAGTTGTTGAGGCGAAAGCAATCAAGAGTATACAAAGGGAGGCAGGCAACCGTCCTAAGTTCACAGGATTTTATAATCACTTCCAAGTTTATACTCTAATGCTAGATATATACAGTCAAATGTGCTAACCATTAAATGCAGATCTGTTCAAGAGAAACATATTTATCTAAATGGAAATGCTGTTGTTTTTAGTTCCCTGACATACCAGGATTCTCCTGGGTGACTCCCTGCATATCTGCCAAGGATATCGTGTACATTGGCTTGCGAGATGTAGACCCTGGGGAACAGTAAGTTTACTCCATGTTCTTTTATATGCTAGGCATACTTTACTGGTCAAGGAGAAGGCTATTTTAAATTGTCAGTATGTATACATGTATGTGTGTATACAACTACATAAACACATGTATTTTCACTTATACACATATGTACTATTCAGGCAATTTATAATGATTCACTATGTGCATATATAACACAGTTCACAGGACTTATTTTATGTATCTTATTATAGTAATCTTTCCATCAAAGGGAACCTAAGAAAAATCAGCCTTATTAATTGGAGATGAACTTAAATCTGTTCTTTTACAGTTACATTATAAAAACTCTGGGAATTAAGTATTTCTCAATGACTGAAGTGGATAAACTAGGAATTGGCAAGGTGATGGAAGAGACGTTCAGCTATCTACTAGGAAGGTATGATGCTTTTGTGTTCATGTGTGCAACCAAGGCTTCCTGCTAACAGTCTTATCCACATATGCGCTTAAAAAAGTGTAGGGAAAAAAGGATTTCCATTGGTTGTTTTTTATAAAGCAGAATAAGGCCTATATTTGCTTACTGATCCCTAAGCCACCACTCTAACGGCAAATCTTTTCTATTCCCTAAAAGAAAGAAAAGGCCCATCCACCTGAGTTTTGATGTTGATGGACTGGACCCAGCGTTCACTCCGGCTACTGGTACACCAGTTGTGGGAGGCCTATCCTATAGAGAAGGTCTCTACATCACAGAAGAAGTTCACAGGACAGGTAGGGAAAAAAGACAATGAAGAGACAGCCATACCCTTGGCTAGTGGATAAGTGGGCCTCTCCTACCTAAAAGCAAGCCTGTTGGTACTTCCAGGATGGCCAACATGTGATGTAATACATCAGGTACTTTCTGTTGGTTCCTGCCTCTTCTCCACTAGATATATTTTGGAATCAGTTGTCAAAGATTTTTAAATGTCAATTACTTTTATCAACTATATCAATACCATTTCCTTTGTTGTTGTAGGGCTACTCTCAGGACTAGATATCATGGAAGTAAACCCAGCTCTGGGGAAGACACCAGAAGAGGTGACAAGTACAGTGAACACGGCAGTAGCATTGACCTTGTCTTGCTTTGGGACTGCTCGGGAGGGAAATCATAAGCCAGGGGTTGACTACCTTAACCCACCTAAGTAAATGTGGGTGTGTCACATGATAGTCAGCTGATACATGACAGCAAACCAAAGAGACCCAAGCAAGTTCTCCCAAAGGCTTGTTCTTTCAGGATTTTTTTTTCCCCAGTTAAGTATTCCGCCAGTTCCTTTATGGTATGAAACTCAGGGTGTGGAAATTTGAACAGCTTTGAAATTAGGACATATAGATATTAGAACATATAGAAGTTAGGACATATGTATTCCTAATTTTAGCAGAAGTTATCCTTAAAAAGCAGTATAAATTAACTTTTAATTAAAAATGCTCTAGCATCTAAAATACGCATTGATGTAAGTGCTGACTTACTAGAGTGGGCTTATGATAGTTGGGGGGAGGTAGCTGTGTTCATGGTGTTCAAAAGATGTGATTTTTTTTTGGTAATAAACTCATTATAAAATTCTGTTGCCTAATCTTTCCAAATACATGTATCATACTTACCCATGTATATACTATACCACACGTACATAACATATACACACACCTTTCTTAAAATCATTTTAAAGATTCCTACAAGATACAGATATAATAATCCCTAAAAGACTGTAAGGCCATTGAAAGCTTGTTTCTGGGACTGGAGACATGGTTCAGGTGTTAAGAGCACTGACTGCTCTTCCAGAGTACCCAGGTTGAATTCCCAGCACCCCCATGGCAGTTCACAATGTGTAACTCCAATTCCAGGGGACCAGACACCCATGGCAAAACACCAAGACACATAAATTAAAAATTAAAAAGGAAAAAAGTTGGTTTCTGCCTTACCTGTAAAATGGATAACCATAGGCTTAGACAATCTCCAAGCTCACTGATAGTAGATGACTCTCTCTTTTTCTAAGCAACCATAATGTTGATATTTTAAGCAGGATTGTTGTGCAGGTACCTGCAAAGGAGTTCACAAACACTATTCAGGAACCAGAGAAATCACTAGTTGATTTTGTTTTTCCAAGAGCTACTAATACATATTGGAAGTCTGCCTAATGTCCCCGAGGCTTTGAGAAGCCCAGCCTCTCATCACGGCAACTGCAGCATGCTTGATTAGCTAAAACTCTTAGGCATTCTAAAAACTCAGCTTGGCTCTGAAATAAGCTGAGGAAAGAGGATACAAATGAAAATAAAGTGTGACTGTCAGAACATGCGCAGCCGTGTGTTTGCCCTCGCTTCCACGGACGTAGCAACTTCAGGGAACTGTGATGCAATCAATCGGCTACACGAAGGGATTTTTATTGTTTCAGCAGCGGCGTGTTAGTGAGGTGTGGCCATCTGATTTTTCATATGTACTCCTCTAAGCCTAATTATCGCCTCTATGGCCTTCAAAGTACGTTTTACTGAATTGATTTTAGATAATTACGAGGTACCTTTAAAGTACCTTGTACAATATAGTAGCCACATGTAAGCTATTTCCACTAAAGCTTAAGAAAAATTTAAAATTCATTTCCAAATTTTAAATGTCTACCAGCCACATGCAGCTATTAACACTGGACCACACAGTAGAGGCAGGGTGCCCAGCACTGGGGTCATGCTGGGAAGTCAGTTTGAAAACAAGGACCTAAACCCTTATTTGAAGATACAATAATGTAGTCATTTTCTTCCCCCAGTTATATACCCAAAATTTCTGCCTCCTATTAATGTCTCTAATAACTTAAGCTAGACAGGGAAAAACTGAATTTTTAACAAATTTACTAGTATGTATATGCCTTTGAGAAAATGGTAAGACTGCAAGTCATTCTTCTGTTCAACATCAAATATATATAGTAATATAATATAAATGCCAGGGTCAAATGTTCCCATCCTAGGATCACCCTGAGGTACAAAGAATACACTGAGACTACGTTAAGAATGACATTTCAAATCATTCCTACTGTAAAATTTCTGAAGATTAAGAATATGTATTAGCCTAGAAACATTAATGACACCATTATATATTTTAAGATAGCCACACATGGCAAATAAAAATTTAGAAATTGCAAGGACATGAACTACAAAATAAAATAAAATAAAGGTCTAGGAGGAACATCATAAGAATCTGAAGTATAGCTGGATAATTTATTATCATAAATTTTTTTTAACAAAGAACAACTCAAGATTTCCAGGTGCAGACACAGAGGGCAGCCTAGGTCTCCAAGCAGCAGGTGCTCACATTAGGTCATTAAAGAAACCATACAATTTGTTTATTCGATTTTACTGGCTTCCAAGGTTTTTGAAGTGGCATTTCCCTTTAAACTAGCACCTCAAAATCACACAAGCCTTAAAGAGCTAAGATGTGTACTAGATTTAAATATGGGCGGTTATTAAAACCCAGCGAAGCTGAAGAGTCCTATCATCTGCCAGGTGAGTACGAACCTGGAAAGGCAGCCAACATATCTCAAAAACAGATCAGGGAATCACACACTCGAGCAGGGCTTTATTGAAATCCATACTCATCAGATGGTCTTTTCTTGCATGTTCTTTTACAAAGAAAGTTCAGAGCAAAAGCAAAACCCTCATCTACTTTGGTAGAAACTTTACATCATTTATTTGGAAATAATTGCAAATTTAAAATATACAGTCAGTTACAAAAGAATATGAAACCTCTTTTGTTCTTGTAAATATAAGGCCCTTTCATTAATAAAAGGCTCTATTCTGAAGACATACCAAAGGACACATCTATAAAAGGGTTTGTAATGTCCACTTTACACGTGTTGTGTCTTTAAAATAATGTACATGAAATGTGAAGACATCACGTACAGTAATTTAAAAAAATGTCTGAAACAAGAAATCTGTGAGTGCCTGGTAAAAGCCATTTAAGTTAGAGGAAGCCCGTGTTCCCAGGGACTTGAATAAATTGTTATAAATTGTTATGAATATGAACATGTATCTTATTTAATCTCTTAGAGACAAAAATATAGACAGGGAGAAGGAAATTATAAGGAGTCAAGAGATCCAGTATTTGAATCAGAATAAACCAATCTGAACATGGCGTCTGCTTCGGTCGGCACAGTGCGCTGTGTTCAGATTTAGGAGGCCTGAGTCACTTTGGCAGGCAGATGCAGTCTTCTGCACCACGGCGTCGCTGGCTTCACTGAGTTACTGGTAGAGACGCTGGCACCTGAGTGGCCTGAGGTGCTGGCGAGCCGCTGTTGAGGGCTTGGGGAGGCGCCGCTGGCTCCATCTTGCTGATGTGTGTGATGAATCGAAGCCGAAGCTTTAAAGCTGGCTTTAGATTACAGATGATCTTCTCCACCTGAGCAGTGAGGGTACAAAGAAGAAACACACTTTTACAGAGGTTTTAAAGCTGGCTTTAGGGTACAGATGATCTTCTCCACCTGAGCAATGAGGGTACAAAGAAGAAACACACTTTTACAGAGGTAACTCCAGTTTTCAACAGTACACCATATATACAGGGGGCTGGCGGATGGGGAAAGACAGGAAATGTACATTATATTGTTGTGGGAAGAGAATACATATGCTTACCTGTGTACGAACAATTGTATCTGCTTTTGTAAAACTTCCTGGAGGGACTCTGGCCAGCTCGATGAGAACAGCTCAGTCAGGCTTTGTCCTTCTCCCCATTCCCTCTGCCTTGTTCAAAACTGTTAGATCACATCCCTAAAGCTGCCACCAAGGTCTGTTCCCTTATTTGGCTGCTTTATATATCTCTGTCTAAGCACACTCTTTGAGAACTTACCATCCATCTTCTCACCCAGTTATCCTGCTATCCACAACTAGAACTGTACCCGTTAGAAGCTGTAGACATCTAACAACTCCATTATCCTTCCCAAATGCTATGTTAGCAGAAGCAGGAAGAATACGTAGACCTTAAGGTTTTTGGATAACTAACATTTACAACATTTATCTCAAAGCTGCTTTCTTGATTTTATGCTTGGGTTCCTCACACATCGGATGGAACCAGCAGCGCCTGCAGTTTCAGGTGCACTCGGTGTATTTTTAGATGAGCGCACCGGTTGGTCTCCCAGCTGTCTTAGCTTTACTGTTCTTTGATCTTAGGAGGAAGGATCAGGTTGTCAGCAATGTTTCCTTCCGCTTTAAACCCTTATCAAAGTTTAAGCCCAAATACAAAGAATACATTTTGGTTTTAAAAAACATTCATCAGTTCTCCCATTTTGTGTGTGTGTGTCTTAACAGAAGCAGACACTAAAAGAAATGTCTGTCTCTCTCTCTTCCTCCCTCCGTCCCTCCGTTTCTCCGCCCCTCCCTCAGAAGGAAAATGTTATCTCCACACCTGCTGTGAAGGCATAAGTAGCCCATATCATGCCAGTCTCCCAAGAGCGAACCCTGCAGACCGGCATGCATACACCAACACAACATACCTTCCTCCCTGCAGACCAGCATGCATACACCAACACAACATACCTTCCTCCCTGCAGACCGGCGTGCATACACCGTCCCAACATACCCTCCTCCCTGCACACCGGCGTGCATACACCGTCACAACATACCCTCCTCCCTGCACACCGGCGTGCATACACCGTCCCAACATACCCTCATCCCTGCACACCGGTGTGCATACACCGTCCCAACATACCCTCCTCCCTGCACACCGGCGTGCATACACCGTCACAACATACCCTCCTCCCTGACACAGGGGTGAGTGTGCTCAAAGAACACCATACACTAGTGTGGAAATGTTACAATGAAACCCGTTGCTCTGTACTGTTCACAGAGCTCATTACAAGAGAAATCCAGCAGAACTCAATCTGAAAACCGCCCTGCCAGAAAGCGAGGGCACAGCAGTCAATATGGAGAAGGGGCTGCGCTTCATCTATCTGCCACTGTCACCCCAAAACTGCGGGGCTGCACTTCACCTATCTGCCACAGTCACCCCAAAACGGCGGGGCTGCATTTCACCTATCTGCCACAGTCACCCCAAAACTGCAGGGCTGCACTTCACCTATCTGCCACAGTCACCCCAAAACGGCGGGGCTGCATTTCACCTATCTGCCACAGTCACCCCAAAACTGCAGGACTGCACTTCACCTATCTGCCACTGTCAC